ACTGGAAACGAGGCATTCCTTCTTAGTCCTCACGAGTGACTACGCATCTGCATTTCGATTTGTAATCTAGGATACATGTAGACGTGTATGGGCCACAGCAAACACTTACCATCAGGTGGTCTGTGTGCTCGTTTGTCGTTTGTCCCTATCCTATAAAAAAGGACAGAATTCTGTGATTTATTTAAATTATTCTTTCTTCAGTATTCGACTATATTACAAATTCTGAAACTTCTCTGCAAATTTGGCCGTATATTGCAAAATAACTCCGTATAATATTGAATACCTTGTTGGTTAATGAGTACGGCTCCTGATCAAGTTACCCCGCGTTCGAATTCCAAATCGGTTAAATAATCAATTATAAGGTTTTTCTGTCAAGAAGTTCTCTGAAAAAGCTTACAGTCAGTAAGTTGGCGGTGTTTCACAAACGTTCTTCGGAAAGAACATCGGAAAAACACTTGGTTCTGCACCTGATCTCTCGCTGACCATGTCGTATATCCCATCGGACTATGAGGGAAAGTACATCGCGGTATATCTCGCTTGCATGTAGGGCTGCCAAAGAATTTCTTGACGTTCCGTCCCGCCAGTAAACGCCGGCACTGGTAATAATAATAATAATAATGTCCTCCAGACCGATGGTTGGCCTGCCTCATGCGGCTAGCCATCGGCGCAGGACAGAATTATAGTGCCCAAGTGTATGCGCAAGCACAGGTGCACTCTCTATTCCCTCACTCTCATAATCCGATGGAACGGTAAACCGACACGACCGGAGAGAGATCAGGCGCAAGACGAACGGCTTTACGTACTTTTCGAGGCACGGGGGTGAGACACCGCCAACTTCCTGACTCCGGGCAACTACTGAGAATTCTTTGACGGAAAAACTCAATAATAATATTTTTTGGCCTAACCCGGGTTCGAACCCAGGACCTCATGATCAGCAGTCGCACTACTACAACCACTAGACCAACGAGGCAGTTGTCTAGTATGTAAGTAGTAAGATCAAGATGCGGAGTCATGCATCAATTTTTGTAGTCAGTGTTGTAATAGTCACCAAATAAGCACGCATAACTGGTCCAACCAAACTAAATCTCACATGTTCCCCATTACATGGCGACTCTCCTTGACAGAACAGTGGTCCGCCGCATACTTCTGATATCCCAGAAGGGCATTGAATTAACGTCCTGTAATAAAGTAGCTAATGAAGTAATAACATTTAATTTGAACTTAGTACTTGAGCATTTTTAATAATATAAAAACGAGTAAAACTGTTTTAAAACAAGTGGAAATAGTAATCGTGTCCTAATAATCGCAGCTGATCTTTTTATTAGTCGTAGCACAGTATCTCAATGTAAAATTCAATATATATTTCTAATAATATTGTTAATATTAAGTTAATATTTTAACAATTTGTCATATGTAAAATCAATCTATTTTTTGTGTTTCCCTTCAAACAAATAGGAATACAAAATGAATCTAATTTAATTAAAGTTTACGTGAACATATGAAATTTAAATTTATTCTAATTATTTGCTCAAATGCAGAAATAACATATTTTTGAATGATTTATTAAATACTTAATACCCTGTAAGACCGTATAACGGAGTAACACTCTTTTTCCCAAAGCCTAATTTATTTTCACACGGTGCATGCAACCTGTTGATAGACCGAAGAAACTCTAGCTTCATTCGACTGACTTTGATCGATGAAGACGTTTAACCACTGAATCCCAATTTCGCAAGATATTGGTGGCGAGTACGCATTATAAATGCGAAGGTAGCTGCAGTGTGCTCATGAAACGGCTTGCCTAGCGTTGTGAGTATGAGCATAGTTTCCAAGCATACTTGCTGCCACATTTTTGCAAAGGTCTAGCTGTTGACTTAGGCTAAGGCTGTTAACTTTGGATTATGTAAGCTTTGCAGGAAGAAAACTCTGAATATATGCCATATTCAGAGTTTCTTACGAAATAATTTATACTATTGTAAAGTGTTAGCCACTTCAAAGCTTAAAGTATTGTGATGCTATTTTTCTTCTAGCAGCATTAATACCTGGGCGTGACCTGAAAAATGTGCAGTCGAGTTGATTATTGGTTAAGCTCTCGTACTTTGCGAACGTCTTAGGTATTATTAGTGCATCTTTTATAAAAATATGATAAAGTCTCTCTTGTTACCGTTAACGTTATTGGCTATTAAAGTCCACTGCGGAACATAGGCTTCCCGCTTAGATTGCCTCATAGGGGGATATTTGCCTTAGTTGCCAAGCTTGGCAAGCGGGTTTTTTTTATTTTTTGTCGTTATTAGGAAGACGCTGTTGCCCATGTCCTGATTTATTTCCTCTGTCGCCTCTTACGACACCCACGAGATGATATGGGGTAGTAGATATTCTTACTACCTACTCGGTAAACCTCTCTTGTTATCTGAAATTATTTTTTTTAAATAATTTTAGGAGTAATTTCCTATACAATTTCATTTACACTCGCTACTGTTGTTTCTTTCTGAAACACCGCCATTACGAAATCAAAGAATTGACACTTGTATAAGATTGGTAAGCCGTGCAGTGGCGGTGCGGTGTAAGATAATCCACTACCCCATACGATCCTGTGGGCGTCGTAAAAGTCGACAGAGGGAAACAAGCAGGAGATGGGCGGCAGCATATTCCTGATAACAACGCGAAATAATAAAAAACTGCGGTCGACAACCCGCTCGCCAAGCGTGGCAACTACGACGAAATCCCCCCTACGTGGCAACCTATGGGAGAGTTCTATGTTCCGCAGTGGACTTTAATAGCCTGTAGCGGCAACAAGAGAGAATTTATCACATTTTTACAGGATATGTACGAATAATAAATACCTAAGACGTTCGCAAATTACGAGAGCTTAACCAAGAATCAGCTGAACTTTTGTAAGCTGTAATTGATGATTGGTAATTGATACTTGTAAAACGACAATACCAAGCGTTCATTTCTTTCTTTGGCTCGTAAACGTCCACAACTAATGGGACTTTCTCATCATCCTAATGTGCTTTAATCGTTACGCTTGGCGTTTGGAAATGATCGTGGTAACAGACGTTTTGCACCTTTGACTCTGCTACCCGTCAACGGTTATACCGCCATCAATAACAATTAGATTTTTCCGATATATCCCATAGTCGCCTTTTAAAAGTCGCACAGAAATGTTCATTTACGCCGCCCCCACACGTCAAGTAACTTCATATAAAATATTTCCTATGGTAAGGACTTAAGATGAGGACCCAACATTGATTGTTTGTCAATCAGTCACGTTTAAAGAGCTGAAGAAGATGAAAATATTATATGGTTTAATGGTAGACTATTTCATGAATTAGGTCTTAGGATATTTTAGTACCAACGCTTAATCTCCTTCCCTATCTCTTTCTCTCTCTCACACACACACTATATTCGCGCATATATAATATATACTTTCCTTACATAAATAATATTTTATTTTCTTAATTTCAAAACGAATCACCATCATTTACAACATACCTTGGCTGTTGCCTACTCTGACTTGGTCTGTATTGATTCTCATTCCACTACAACTTTTTATCAGATATTAGGAACTTAATTTTCTGTCTCCCATGCGGCTTGCTAATGCAGACGAAATTTTCAGAATAGAAGTGATCAAAATAAAAACAAGTTGTTTATTAATTTGCGGTACCTATCCATATATGTCATTTATATTGTCTAACATATCTGCGCAGTATAGGATGGTGCTACATAGGCACCCATATTCGAAAAATTACGTAAAATTGCTTACTCTATTCTATTGCTTGTCATGGCATCGCATTTGCTTTTATTCATTTATTTATTACATCCTATGAAAAATCTACTACTAAACATATGCCTCCTCGCAGATCGTCTTATAGGATAGATGTTTGTCATAGTTTTCTAATACCAGGTGCGTTGGCAACCGTTTTTTTTTTCTGAAATTTTGAGTTCTTAAGAGGAATATGCTGTTATCCATCTCTTATTTCATTTTCCCTCTATCGCCTCTATAACATTCACGGTACGATATGGGGCAAATGCTATAATATGATGTAATACGTAAAAAATTACGAAAGAAATGTCCATTTCAGCAAAGACAGTAGTAATATCATAGAAAAAACAAAGGGCCGGGTAATAAATCATCAACTATTTTTTTTTAAAACAAATCAATTACTTTAATGTTTAAATAATTTGGAATTTGTGATTCCAAATCTAATATAAGAAAATAAATTTCAAACTTTAATATGGCGGTAGTGCCAAAGAACGACTATTTTGTAGATAAAAACCTAATAAGTGTTTACACATTTGTAATATTAGTTACATTTTATAGAAATATGCGTACCTCAAAATCAGCAATATATTTTAAAAAATTACTATAACTTTCACTTACAGACAAGATAAATAAATAAACTGTCTAGAATTCAAAACTTCGGAACATCATTTTGTTAAAGTAAACCGTAAATCATCAACGATGTTCTCTGTCTTTACAAAAGAGAAGTTTTCTTCTGTAAAGAAAAATTTTACGACGGATGATATGTTGTTTTATTTTCAGTCAAATTTTGGACAGAACTTTGGTTAGGAACTTAACTGTTCTTATTTCAATGAATTGGAAAGTTTATTTTATCACCTTTGTTTTTCATATATCCTTAATAATTTTATAAAAGACTATTACAATAATTTGCCTTAAGGCACAAAAAAGGATAAAAAACATTTAGTTTAAAATTTACATACGAATTCATATACAAGCATATAATAATAAAAATGGTTTTCGGAATACTTCAATGCATTTTAATTATTAAAATACGTACAAAATAGAAACATGACAAAGATAAAAAATTGTAAGATAAATAACGTTATCAAAGTCTGAATCATTTTAACCACGTTACATTTTAATGAAATTGTTACCTATTATACCTATAAATGTCGTAATGTAAAATAAGAAACAAAATTTAGCTTAGTATCAATTGCAGAGGTTTATAAAATAACTGTTATATAACAACGCGACGTTAGAAGCATGTTACAGCGTTGAAATAGCAGCGTAGCACTCGTCCTCGACCGGAGCCCTGCCCGCGTCGCTGAAGAGCAGACTGTGGGCAAATATGAATACTCATTTACACAGCTCTGAAATGTGCGTTATGCGAAACGGAATGTTTAAAAAGCCTGTCCTACATATTATAAAAACTTAGAGCATAGTCGACAATTTGAATGACTATATTACAATAAATCAACGACGATTTTTTACTTCAACAACTTGTTTAACTCTACGGCTGGTAATGTAATGGACTTGTTCAGGAATGCACAATCAGCACTTCACCGGGAAGGTGATTTGGTAAGAGCAAGGCTGACTCCCTGATACTGGTAATGCTGTCCCGTATCACCCGCCTGGTGATTTCTTGCCATCAGTCGGTCGTTAGAGTCCAATCAATCAAACATCATTCGGCAGTACGTACCGCGTGCAGGTACATCTTGCCGAATGATGTTTACAGAATTTGGAGAAAAAGTTGAAAGTTATTGGTAGATCCATGCTTTAGCTATATCATGATTTGAGCACGAATGGGTCAGCTAGGCACAGTCAGGGAAAGACCACGTTCTCATATACCAGCTCATATACCAGCATATAGTAGCATCTTAATTCTGCTGTGTTCTTTAAAGTGAGAGTAGAGAACCGGAGGCTTTTTTACTGAAAAGAAGACATTCCAACGTAGCCCTCAGGGGGACAACACATCTGAATTTTAATTCTTATTCGAGGATAGATGTAGATATCTATTGGTCATAGCAATAACTAACTATCACGTGGATTGTGTGCTCGTTTACAGCCTTATCCAATTTAAAAAAAAAACATTCTTCCTTACAAGATATGACGGTTAGGACCATAGTTCTAGTACAAACTCCATACTAAATCTATGCTTATGATGACTATGGCGTTTTATAATAAGTACTTCTTTGTTGTACCTGACCAATGAGTATCTATATTACGAGTCACTGTTAAAGGTTAGTAAAGTAAAGATAGACATAGACATATGTTTAATTAGAATCATTACACTCACAAAATATATATTTAGAATTAAATTTACACAAAACACATATAAGGTTCAAAAAGGAGATAATAAATAAAAATTATTCTCAACAAGAGTGAGTGATGTGATGCAAAAAGAGATTCCATCTCAGCATAATATGAGACCGCAGGTATGGCAGCAGCACTGATTTTCAGCGGAGGCCTGATAAATATTAATTTCTGTTGTGCGCCCGCGTCGTTATAGGTGCTAACTTTTCATTTCAAAAAGAGTGAATCAACAATTCATTAAAAGTATATATCTTCAAGTATATACATAAATTTAAAAAAATAAAAATATGCACATAAATATATACAATACATATATATTTATGAATTCAAATTTGTGAAATATCCTGCCAGGTGCTAAAAGCTGCTAAAAGGTGTTTTGAAATGAACTTTAAAACCGCTTACAGATTTAGTTTCCCGTGTAGGTGATGGTAAATTGTTTTTTATAGAATAAGGGCGATAAACGAACACACAATCCATCTGATGGTAAGTGGATGCTGTGGCCCAGATGCCTATGGGCCACAACATCACATTTATTTACACATTTATCCTCGATTAAAAATCAAAACGCAGATGTGTTGTCACCCCTGAGGAGTAAGATGGAATGCCTCGTTTCCAGTAAAAAAGGGTCTCCGGATTTCTACACTCACCATACGAAACACAGCAGTATTAAGCTGCTATTTTACGCTGGTATTCTGAGAGCGTGGTACTTCCCCGGTCAAGCCGACCCATTCGTGCTACAACCATATTATAGCTGCAGCGTGGCTCTACCACGTATATATATTTTGCAACATTTAGTGGCCATATATCTAAAATTGCCATGATTGGGGTTACCGTACTAATGCTTCGACCACCATCTGCTCTTGATCATTTTAATTTCTGACAGAGATAATTTTCCGGTCTTTCTAATTTTATACATCCGAACAGAAGCGTAGCTAAATGTAAATATCTCCTCAATGATATCTTTAATATGCCCGTCTTATTAAGGTACAGATGTACATGATTATATCGAGGGATATTAAAAATATACCTGGCACATGCGTTTTGGACTCTTTGTTTTAGCAAACAGTCTATGACCATACACAGTATCTGCGTACCCAAGCCTTGGAAGTACGAGTAACTCATACTATACTCATAGGCGGAGACGCTGACATAATCATGCACTTACAAAATACAGCACATATACTTCCCTCTAATTTCTAAGAGGGCTATCGAGCGATTATAGTTCGCCTTAGGTACTACTCCAGCGCATGTTAGTGTACATAACATGTTCTCGAAATATTTCATATGTCAGATTTTCAGGTTTCTTTGCGATGTAGCGATAGTGAACTTTCCACATCCTTCCTATTACTTTACATATTCCTTTCTACCCGTTCTCTAATCACTAAAATTAGGGAATTTTTATAAGTACAGAACTTTTTAACGCGGATTTTTATAATTGTCACATAAATTATTTATTAATAACCACAGACAAGGGCTGTGATAGTATTATATAGTTTTGGTTTTTGGATGTTAGTTTTATTCAGTGGGTCGAAAATAACCCTTTGGTAGATAAAGTTGTACACTAGTATGGACTATGGGGTTATATGTTAGAGAGGATCTGTCAAATATAATTTACGGCAGTATATTCTAAGTCTATGCTCGTAAAGGTTGGGATGACAATTTCTTCTATTCTATATAATAGTCTATGATCAAACAATGACGAAAATGTATGTGGGTGCAACTCATTCTTTGTTTTTATATGAACAGGTAAATAATTATGTTATATGTCAATAATCATAATCATATCAGAATACCTCTAAACAAACAAGAAAATGTTATTTTTAGTCTTGTCCTCTCTAACTTAACAAGTTAATCTATTTTTTTCTTTTTTTTTTAAACGTTACCTCGGCAGTAGGATTTTCTCCTGTATCGTGGGGGCAGTTTACAAACACAAATTTCACAAGGACAAACATCCAGACCCGGAACAATTACTTGTAGGCCATACAAATACTTGTTCCGTGCGAGATTCGAACCCGCAGCCCCCACTGCGCTACGGAGCCGTCGATACTCACTTACGAAACAACATTTTCTCTATAAATACAAACCAAGTCACTAGTCTCCATGCTAGAAACGCGTAGCGGAGCTGCACGCGGTCCATCGCGCTCTATGTCGTAGCGCTGTCCGCCCCCTTCGCGTAACGCCCTCTGTAGCGCCACTAGCAACCGATCGAGCACCAATGCAGCACGCTTTTCCGGAATTATCACTTGCTATAAAAATAAAATATTGCAAATATAAAATATTGTAAAGAAAAATAAATCAGGAGTGTCACAGAATAGTGGTTGTATTAGAATATAGAACAACAATGTTTAGATTGCCATGGCTAGGTCGGGATTATAAGCCTACGTCTCACAAGCGCTAACCTTTGCACTCATACATCGTGAACGGTGAAGGAGATAGGTACAGTCCCTGAGTGATAATAGCCGTCCGGCCTGGACGGCTGGTCAAGTCCAATCGCCTAGGGGGTAGAGCGGCCGGGAAAAGAACCCCGAGTTGGGTTTGAGACATTTTATTAAGCGTGAACGTTTGTAGTAAAAGAAAAGGAATGTCTCGGCAGTCTGGCTGGCTTATATACCTATGAACAGAGTACTAGTCTTGAACAGTTTGCCGATTGAAGGAGGTTTACATGTTAACGGATTAAATAAGTTAATATCGTACTACACGAGAGATGAGCCATATCGAGTACTCGATGTATTGAACTATACTAATTTATGTATATATATATATATATATATATATATATATATATATATATATATATATATATATAGGTACTGCTCGTTTAACCTCTCTATTATAAAAGAACACACCACAACGGTGTGGAAATGTCATCTCCGCTTAGTTAAAAACTCTCAGAAAAAAGTTAGTCGTACTATTATATAGGTTGTTTACTTCTTATTCTCTGAATCTTATCAGTAACTCAAAGTATTTAAGCTTTTTTGGGCCATATACGAGTACCTTATTTATTTTTATTTAAACACCAATTATTTTGAGGTACTTGTTTTGAATAATTTAAAGTCTGATCTAGCGAGCTATGCTAGTTCAGACTTGGTCTCGTGTCCAGAAAATAGGTTAATACATTTTTAAAATTATAAAAACTTACATCACTGACATCATTCATGTTTAAAGTTTGCGAGTAGTCTTCGGGAAGGGCAGCTGGAACAGTGGGTGAAGCGAGAGTAGCGGATACTACTACGGCCAGAAGTTGCACCAGTAGCATTATTGGACATAACACCATCATCACCTGTAAATGGAATGGAATAAAAGTTATAAAAACGAATTATATATATAATTTACATTACATAATATACTTAAAATGCGCGGGTATAATGTGTATATATAACACATTATACCCGCATCATTTCAAAAAGTCGCCCTTACACACGGCGTTCGACTTGAATGCGTATAGCCAAGCTACTCGCCCTAGCAGTGAGGAGTCGATGGATTGTGGGATCACAAATCTGGGGAGAACGGAAGAGGCTCATGTTTAGCAGAGGATTTTTATGAGCTGTTAGAAAGAAAGTAAAACTGAAACTAAATAGATCACCTTTTTTCGTCGTATAATCTGTGAAAGGTGAATGTGGGCATGATTTTAAAATCATTTGAATTGTAAAAGTAATCACTCGTTTTGATTACTTTTAAACTTGCAAAATTACAACCTTATAGAATAAAATAATTATTCACTCTGCGATATTGTTGTATTGGACCAGATTTTTTGCGGCTAAGCACCGTACCTTCCCTTAAAACTAGACTCCTATACTTTTTAAAGTGTGTGTGTTGTTTACTTTTGTGCATTTGCACAAAAGTAAACCGTAAGAGCAAAAAAGCAGTATTTAACACAAATTAATAAAAAGTGCTTACGTAGTTTTAAAAATGTCATGTTATGAAATTATACTTAGCCGATCATCGAAGAAAAGAAAAGAGAAAACAAAATATAGAACTAAGTATTTTTATCGCAGTTTTCTTTTAAAAGGTAGCGTTAAAGTTTTTGATGCGTTATAATAAAACAAATAAGTTTGGTGTAATATAAACTTCTATCGCTGGCAAAATGACGGAAGAAGTTTTTAAGGTAACAACTATTTAGAGGTTTTTAAGATAACTAGTCATCATGTTCCTCAGTCCACTATTAAAATTATTATATTCTTTAGCCCACTCAAAAGGGAAATACTAACATATAGTGTGTAGTAGAATTAAAGTCTCGAGTTTAAAAAGTGAAGTCAGTGTATTCTTTTTAGTTCTTCGAAGTCGGTTTTACTTTTTATTAAAAAAAATTTCTTATTCAGTTATTAATCCATTGTTGGTCAAAGTTTTCTCCAACTTCAAATATATGTCAATAATCACTATTCTTAGCAAGCACAGAATACCAGCGTAAAATAGCAGCCTAATACTGCTGTGTTTCGTATGGTGAGTGTAGAGATCCGAAGACCCTTTTTTACTGTAAACGAGGCATTCCATCTTAGTCATCTGGGGTGACCACGTATCTGCGTTTTGATTCTCAATCGAGGGGAAATGTAGATACCTATGGGCCACAGCATCCACTTGCCATCAGGTGGAATGTGTGCTCGTTTGTCACCCTTAGTCTATAAAAAAGTTGGTTGATAAGCAAGGATCCAATACCTTGGCACTAGTAATGCTGCTTGCTCCCCTGTCACTAGTTTGTGGGACTTTTTATCACTCCATTAGTTTACCACACTCACTCGGTCATTACTTAAGAGATATGAAAAATTGCTAGATGTGAAATCTACGAGTCCGCGTTGAAACAGCACGACAGGTTTTGTTTGCTCCGAAATTATCACAATATCACGAAGTCTAAAATTACCTATAAAGTTTACATTTACATAGGGTTGTGTACAGTGAGGAGCAAATACACTCCAACAGAGTTTAATATTAACCCAATTCCAGAAAAGCCGTCCATTTTCTACAGTCATGAGTTTTATACGGAGCTTTTCTTTACTCACTGAGCGACTGAGTACCATTTCAGTATCATACCTGATGTATACTCTGGTCAGGGCGGTACATTTTGGCTGAAGATGTTTGTGCTATGTTTATTGGAATTTGACCCCCACACTAACTGAATTATTAAATTACTATTCTGCTTCTTTCTCGAAGTCTTTCTTCTTGAACAACTCCAAAAACATATTGATGGTGAAATTTAGTTGGAAGCATATTGAAGCTTCCAAATAAATTTTCATTCAAAACTATGAAAAATATTATACATAAATTAATTTAAGCGACAGTATCTTGATAGTAGGGCGCGGACCGTGAACTCAAAAGCTATGGGTTGAAATCCACCATTCGACCAATGTTGTGAACGACACGCACTTAACAATTTTAAGCCAATTTGGAGTGATTAACGTAAATATTAGTAATGTTAATAGATTCTCTGCGTGATAGATTTCTCAGCATGACAGATCCAAAATGAGAATAACAGCAGCAGAGCCAAAGTAATCGACATACCCTAACGGATCATTCAGATGAAGTGGTAATGATCTGGCTATATAGCTCGAATAACAGATAATCAGTGCGGAAGAAAGGTTCTTTATTAGATGGAATATCTACTAAGACTTGCAGGAAGGCGATGGATGCAGGTGACCCAGGTGTTTTGTGGAATCCCTTTAAAGTTGATGAATGCAAGTGGTCCAGGTGCTTAGTGGAATTCCTTGGGGAAGGCCTACGTTTAGCAGTGGATTTGTGAAGGGATGTAATGATCATAATACATAATCGTTGTTGCGTCTGTTAGTGATAACGTCACTTCTAAACGACTTTCCCAATTAAAATTTTACAGAGTTATTAACTAATAATAAAGAGAAAGAAAACTTGCAAGAAAACTACAGAAACCTGACTAATATAATAGAAGAATGTATAAAAAAGTTGCCAAAAATACGTAAAGAAAAATTCCAATTTTGTCCAGAAATAAAAGAACTTATTAAAGAAAGAACGAAACTTAAAAGTAAAGAAAAAAAGGCTAAAGAAGAAAAAAATATACTGTTAAACTCTACCTCAAAATAAAAAGAATTATTAATAAAAAAAAAATTAGATACCACTTAAAAATATGAGAAGAAGAGTTTTTACATAAAGGCTCTACAAAAAAATACACAGAAACGACTCACTCTATCCAAAGAGTGGATTTCCTCACTAAAAGCAAATGATAACAAAAAAACTACAAATAGAGAACACCTTTTAAAGTAGCTACTGATTTTTACAAAAACTTATACAAAAGTCATAACGTGGAAAATAACATAAAGGATGAATTAATAAATAATAGTTGTATTGTGGATATAAACGACCGTATTCCGCCACTACTACCGTGCGAGATAAGTCATGCCATAAAAAAAACTTAAAAGTACAAAAATTTCAGGAGAAGATAGTATTTTAAATGATGTTTTGAAAGCGATAAAAGAACCCGTCATACCGATATTAACAAATATTTTCAACAAAATACTCGACCTAAGTCAAATACCAGAAGATTGGGCAAATTCTACTATCATATTATTGTACAAGAAGGGTGATCGACTAAATATCAACAACTATAGACCTATATCCCTATTGAATACAATTTATAAAGTTTTCACAAGTATATTACTTAATAGAATCAAACCCAAATTAGACTACATGCAACCGAGAGAACAAGCTGGTTTTCGTCCCAAGTTCTCTACAATGGATCACATCTTTGTTTTGACTCAGATAATGGAAAGATATAAAGAATATAACAAAACTCTTTACATCGCATTTATTGATTATTCAAAAGCTTTCGACTCTATTTACCATGACTCACTTTGGTTGGCGTTGAAATCTCATGGAATACATAACCAATATATAAGAATACTGAAAGAAATTTGTAGTCAAACTACAGCAACAATAAGAATGGAGAGACCAGGACAGCCATTTAAAATCGAGAGAGGGGTGAGACAGGGGGACCCAATCTCACCTAATCTATTTACTTGTTTATTAGAGTACATTTTCTCAAAACTTGACTGGGGCAAACGAGGCATTAATATTAACGGAGAAATTTTGAGTCATCTACGTTTTGCAGACGACATTATCATATTAAGCGAAAATCACGAAGACCTTATATATATGGTTCAGTCTTTAGACATAGAAAGCAGAAAATGTGGCTTACAAATGAATCCAGATAAAACTTGTATATTGACAAATAACACAAAAATGCCTGTACACGTTCAAAACCAACAAATTAGATATGTTAATTAATATATTTATCTTGGGCAAAATATTTCATTTCACAACTTAACAATGACGGAAGTTAATAGAAGAATTAAATTAGCATGGAGCAAATATTGGTCACTAAAACATATTTTCAAGGCAAAAATACCAATTAAATTAAAAAAGAAAACGTTGGATACTACTGTACTCCCCCACTTTATTATATGGATGTCAAAACTGGGCTCTCACAAGGAAAATAATATCTAAGCTACAAGTTTTCCAAAGAGCAACGGAACGCAGCATGCTAAACGTTAAACTAAGACATCGACATAGAAACAGTGATATACGAAAAAAAACAAATATCATAGACGCAGCCAAATTAGCGTGTCAACTGAAGTGGAGATGGGCAGGACACGTGGCACGAGTCAGTGATGGAAGATGGACTGAACGGGTGCTACATTGGCACCCGCGTGATGCGACGCGCTCGCGCGGCCGACCGCGGGCACGCTGGTGCGATGACATTGTAGAGGTGGCAGGAGCAACGTGGACGAGGCTAGCGGCAGACAGAACTTCATGGAAAAGGATGGAGGAGGCCTTCACCCGGAAATGGGTATCCCATAATTAATTAAAATTAATATAATAAATTATGACTCTATTTTATGTGTATAGCCAAATTCAGCAGATTATTATTAATTTCAATTTTATTATTTTAACTATATATTTTGTGACAAAAATCAAAATAAGTTGACAATTACTTGAAAATATAAATATAAATTGATTATTTACCTTAACATTATTTATATATAATCAAAAATTAATTTTGTAAATTTACTTTAAACTTTTTATTTAAAATTGACACCGACATTATCATGTCTCATAATTAAAAAAAAATTGCATGACTCATAACAATATTGTAATTGGTTTTAACTAATATCGACTGTTGTATGAAAATTGGGAATAAAATGGCTATTATTATTATTTATGTTTTTTATCTATATAGTTTTCTCATCTGGTTGGGTTCTATAAATATATAATTATAAATGAAAATGAAAAGATAAATATACATAAATATCAATAACATAAAATAAATATAAAAGTACATAAATAAGTAAAAGCCCAACCAGATGGAGGCCCCTCGGCAGGGGAGACCAAACGGCCGAGGGTTAGGGGGAAAGGGAAAGAAACCGGCGGACGATGCGGGCGGTATCGAGGAGCACCGCCTTCTGCATTTGAACCTGGAGCGGTCCGCCACGTAGTCCCAGCCGCCTCAGATGACCCGAGAGGCTGACTGGGATTAGCCCGTTTGCAGAGACGACTACAGGAATAATTTCGGACGGCAGACCACCCCACATGTCGGTCACCTCGTGAGCCAGGTCCAGATATTTATTTTGTTTGCTTGTCTGTTTCGGCTTTCACGAGGTTCTCGTCATACGGAATGGTAATGTCGACCAAAAATATCCTTGACTGTGCCCGGTCCATCAGCACAATATCAGGCTTATTCGCAAGAATAGTCCTGTCTGTGATGATAGCCCGGTCCCAATAGAGCCTGGCGCGATCATTTTCGAGCACGGCTTCCGGCAAGTACTTGTAGTACGGCAATTTCCGATCCACGAGACCGTATTTCAGAGCGAGCTCCTGGTGTAGAATTCTGGCTACTAGGTTGTGCCTGTGCAAGTACTCAGAGTTAGAAAGCGCCGAACAACCGGAGATAACATGCCTAAGTGACTCACCGGGATGGCGACAAGCTCGACAGATGTCGACGGTGCCATCCTTTAGGATGTATCTCCGATAGTTGTTGGTCTTAATAACCTGATCCTGTATTGCACAGACAAAACCCTCGGTTTCCCCCGGAGAGATCACCAAAGCGTAGCCAGTGGAGGGAGGCTACTGTGTCTACGAAAGGCTCATGTAGAGCCTTGTAGAACCTCCCGTGGAGCTCCTTCTCCTTCCATACGGTCTCCCGGTCGGAAATGCTCTGCACTGCCGGGTCTTGCCATTGCTCGTTGGCTAAGGATAGAGGGGTAAGTCCTTTATCACAAGAAATGACGTCCTTATAGAATGGATCATCCGATCTCGCCAGGAAGTAATCACGGAGGCTGCACACTTCGCGATTATGCATGGTGAGCGCGCTCAAGAAGCCACGACCACCATGCTTCCGCGGCAAGTACAGCCTCATTACCGACGATCTCGGATGATGCATCCTATGGGACGTCATGGTAGTGCGGACTTTTCTATCCAGGGCGTTAAGTTCAGTCTGAGTCCACCTGAGTATGCCAAAGGTATACATGAGGACAGGCATGACCCAACCGTTATATGCGTGTGCCTTATTCACACCGGACAAAAGGCTGTTAAGCACTTTGGTCAAGCGTGCATAAAACACGTCGCAAACTGACTGTTTCATACCAGCCTCATCGATACCGATGTTCCGTGACATACCCAGGTATCGGTATGTTTCAGCCTCGGAAAGGGTTCTTAAGTTGACGGGCATAGATAAGTCTATGCCCTCAGAGTTAGCAACCCTACCCCTCTCAACATGGAGGACCGCACACTTATCCGTCCCCAGCTCCATTCCAATGGAATTGCTAAATTCACAAGTGATGTTTAGCAATTCCATAAGATGGGAGCGACTGGAGGCGAATAACTTGAGGTCATCCATATAGAAAAGGTGGGTCACTTTTGTCCCTCCTTTCCGTAGCTGAAATCCCCTCCCGGAGCCCTCCAGTAAGGTACTGAGAGGGTTCAGAGAGAGGCAGAACCAGATTGGACTCAGACAATCGCCCTGGAAGATACCCCTTCTTATCCTTATGTGGTTCTCCGCAGCCATCATCCGCTCGCCCAGATGACAAAGGATCGTACTCCACTGCCCCATACACTGCTCGAGGAAGTCTCTAACTGTACAGTCTATCTTGTACAGTTCGAGGACTCTCTTTAGCCATGTATGGGGCACCGAGTCGAATGCCTTTCTGTAGTCTATCCAGGCGGCGGAGAAGTTCCGACGGTTGCGTTTCACCACTTTGCCAATGACCGCGTCAATGAGGAGTGGTTCCTTGGTTCCACGACCACCGCCCCGACATCCATTTTGAGCGCGCGACATCACCTGATTTGAATCCAGGTGACGAGTGATTCTCGCGCTCAAAATGGATGTTAGTGTCTTGTATATGGTCGGTAGACATGTGATGGGGCGGTATTTGCTCGGGTCTGTGGTACCCTGGCCTTTAGGAACCAAATGGGTGATCCCAGTAGTGAAGAGGCTCGGGAGCGACTTCTGGTTGAGAACCTCTTGAAACTGTCGGGCGAGCACAGTGTGACACACCACGAACCCCTTCAGCCAGTAGTGATGCAGCCCGTCGAGTCCCGGACTTTTCCAGTTCGGGGCCCTACGGACCGCCTCAGCTACGTCATCCGGCGTTATGGTGACGGGGTCCATGGGCGTAATACCCGCACACTGACTCGCCACAACTTCCGTCCAAGGGCCCTCGTTGTGGTTTACGGGCTCTGACCACAGGCTGCGCCAGAATGCGAACGTGTCGGCCTGATTCGGTACTGGGCCCGTTCCACTTACCATTGGTCGCTCCAATGATTTATAGAGCCTCTTCTGATCACTCTGGAAGAGACGATTCTGGTTGAACCGTGTCGACCTCTCGGTATATCGCCGAATTCGCTTTCCCCAAGCAGCGATTCTCTGCTTCAGGTCGTCTATGCGCTCCGTCAGTTTTTGCATTATATCCGGCTGGGACAAACTAACATTTGTCCCAGCAAACGCCATCCTGACGGTGCGCACAATCCTTGGCCTGGTATTGCCTGACCTGAAGCATATCAGTCTGCCGATGAGGGCCCTAGCCTTTGCGATACGTTCTTCAATTCTTGTTCTCCAGGCTGGGATAGCACTACTTTGTCCATTAGTGCGTCCAGCCGTGGAAAGTTTGGCGCCTATAATACGGCAGACTGCCAGTGCGGCGCCAAAGAGAATTGAGTCCGTCTCGCAAAGGTCCCGGCTGGCTTCCAAATAGGTCACCAGCATTGGGTTCAGAGCCCTCACGACAGCCCGATTCCGCTTGCTTAGGGCTATGCGGGGAAGTCGCGGTCGATTTTCGAGAGGCCTACTGCGCGTTTCCATAATCGCCTCTTCCAATGTACTCCTCATTTGCTCTATTTCTAGTTCCTGGGTGAATGTTCCATCATCATTTGAATCAGCAACCACTGGGGTATTCTCGGCGGCATCCACGTGTGCGGGTTGTTCTGCAACTTGTGGCACCGCACCCCCAGTCGTAGCGTTTTCATTTGATGAGGGAACAGCCTCACGTCGTAGCCGTTCGAGTTCGGCGCCATCAAATATATTTGAGCGTAAGATATACCGAACTCGGTCTGCCAGGTTTTGCTCGGTGACAGTAATAGATGGCTCCAGCTCAGTAAAAGACGATGCATCCTAGCCCGATACGCGAAACCTCCAATTTCTCCCCCCTTTCGCCCTAAAATACGCCCGCAATGCGTTTGAATTCATATTGATGGTCCATCGCATGCGGCGTACTCCACCAGTGGCGGGTGCCGATTGCTGGGTCTGCGAAGACCCTGCCGACACCAAGCAAGCTGGTGGGGATGATGGATGCGAGGGGCTGCTGGGTGATCGTGCAGCACCTCGCGCTCGGCTGGCGGTTCGCATGCTGTCGCGTCCAGCGCCAGCTCCAGACGCGCCCTGACGACCTCCAGGTAGCGGCCCTTTGCGCAATCTTCTGTGTTCCATCATCCATACAGGGCGTCATTTAACGGGAGACGCCCAGACCCGGCGCCGTTTCATGGTGAGGCCATATGCACAAGCGGGCCCTTGCACCATCAATTTTTGCCGAGGCACGGCGCTCACACCTCTTGGCAAGGTGCTGACTGACTGCGCGGACCTAGCGGTTTTGTCACATAACCGTCACGTCAACGGGCGATGGGGTCGTCACTTCCCTACGCCATTTTATTTTATTATTATTATTATTATTATCATTATAACATTTAAATGTTATTAGTTTTTACGGATAATATCGCGCGTATTAACTTATTTTATATTCCCGACTTTTCGAGTACTGTATAGCACCCATGGTCACGAGGGGACTGAGATGATCAACATCCCAATTTCATAGCTACCTTCCGTTTAAAATTATTAATTATTAGTCTGATCTACGCAGAATGAGCTTATGGTATCTTGAAGTTTTGGAGTTATATGCTTGTGTTAGAATTTATTAATTATAGGATCCATGCATGCATGCAAACTTCATATAAAACAACGGTTATTTCAACTTAAAGTCTTCAAAATCGTTCAAATGAAACATTGACATTCAAATGAATACTATTATTGAGGCATAAGAAAACAGTACCTGGATGACCAAGCTTTGCGCGGTTTTAATTAAAAAAAAATATTATGCAATTACTTTAATATATTTTCTCACAAAAGAAGGGAACTTTAAAAAAAAAGGAAAAAAATTCGGATCTGATTTCGATCCGAATTTTTTTTCTTTTTTTTTTGGACGCGAACCAAGGCATTACGATTTCGCGACCGCTCGCTATTCACTTGAGCTATTACGATCATTAACACGACGTCAAAATTTACCTTCTTATATTGTAACAGATAGCTTTTTTCATTGCCTGAAAACACGGACAAAAAACCTTTTCCAAAAATAAATCCTAGCTAGATCGATTTATTGCCCCCCGAAACTCCCTGGACACTAAATTTTATGAAAGTCGTTGGAGCCTTTTTTTTTATATAGTATATAAGAATTGCTCGTTTAAAGGTATAGAATACATAAGGCTACATACTCGTGCGTGTTTCGGGACGGTACTGTCGCCTACAAATCACGAAAAAGGAAATATGCCTACCGGTAAAAATGTGACATGAATGTTTCACATGACCTTTGTCTTCTTCATGTTAATCTTACTCACCATGTCCATGTACTCGCCATTTATCCTTGTATCCTATCTAGTCCAGTAATTTAAAAACGTCTTTCTAATGCAGCGGTGGAGAATTTTAGAGTTATAACGTCACCCTGTTTTATATCTCCCTACAGTTGAATAAGAGTTCCTCTCTCGTTTTGTACTCAGATATTCGATATACGTAACCATACTGTACAAATACTTCAGTACTTTCATATACCGACGGTCAACCTAGTACTGCTGAAGAGACTGTAGCATTACCCATGTTTCAACTAAATTAAAGACCTTCGCATAGACAAAATAACCCAGACATAATTTTACATGCGCGATTATTGAAATTACTCCGAAAACATTACATAGACACGGATCGGGTGGGAAATCGGTCTTGTCACCATTTTTGAACAACAAGACTACCTTTTCTACTGCATGCCTCTGAAGGAGCGCCACCATGAAGGACGGAATCGAACAGCCTTTTGAACGAAAATATAATCGTTGTTGTAAAATATTCCAAAAAATAATGTTTTTGGTATATTTTACAACAAACTTTTTTGTTTTATAATAAAACCGGTACATGATACCACCACATGCGTATAATAAAACATTACACCGTCCTCAATGTGTCAACTTGTTATTTCACGTACACGAATGATTCGCCTAAATCGCTATTCAAAATCTTGAGTGTAGTACATCTTATTAGAAAAGGACACCAGTGAGTTTGAAATTAATCATTGGTTATATCCAGTCATTATTTTAAATAATATCTTGTTATTCTCTTAACATTAAAAAAAATTAAAATTACTAATTACTAAACGTCACACACTCTTACTATGGGCCAACCTGGCTGGCCCTCATAAAAGTCCACTGCTGAACCTCCCCCATAGATTGGCACCACACAGTTCTGAGCCACTTGCATCTATCGACTACCTGCGTGTTTCATCAGGTCACCACTCCATCTAGCTGGGAGTCGCCGAACACTGAGTTGTTCAGAACGAGCCTGCCAATCGAGATTTTTTTTATCGGTTGTTGGTTCTTCCAGCTATATGGCCGGCAGATTGCCACCTTCGTTGATGAGTCTTGTTCTTCTGCTGATATCCTCGTTACGGACTCTATCCCGCAGAGAAATTCCGAGCATAGCCATATTCCATCGCACGCTGTGTAACTTTGACCTTACTCATACGGTCAGAAGGGCGTACGTTACTCACGTTTTAGTTTCGTAAGCCATCATTGGCAACATGCAGTGGTTGTACACTGTCCTGTTAAGATTCTGAAACTACAGACAAAAATGTTTGTCAAAGTTTCCCGAACGTAGTCCATATTCGCCATTGATATTAACACTTTATCCATTCAAATTCAATAGCTTGAATACGTCTTCCAATTATGTATCTGTGATCGCTTGGGTAAAAACCAGGAGCAATCACATAATGGTTTAAATTATAGGTACTGAATCACAATGCGATGTGAGGGCAAGAAATTAAACTCATTGATGCAGTTTAACAACTTTCTCTCTCTTTATTGAATTGAAGGAGTCTTAGTAATTATGTCGCCTACGTCCTACCATAGTTAGTACCTATACATAGGTAGGGTTCGTGTTACGTGTTTCCAATTAAAGACACGTGAATGGTGTCTTTTTCTATTAATATAATATATTACTAAACTAATTAGATATTTCTCATTCCATGAAGACACGACGTCTCCTTATATGGGGGATATTCTTTAATTAAAATATTAAAAGAATATCCCCCATATACACACATTAACATTGTTACATTGTTTTAATTGCGTTATAGTACCTACACTACAATAACGTCAAACTAGACATATCCCGTTTAATTAAGTCAATGCTCAGACCTCCTTGTATACTGGGTCAAAATCCCAAAGAATTTCGACTCGAGCTACAAAATCATTATCAGTGCCAAGAATATTGCCATATGCTGGACGATAAAATTATAAGTTCAGAGAAACTTATGTTTCGTTTGGTGAGTGTAGAGAATGGGAGAGCCTATTTACTGGAAATTAGGCATTTCATCTCAGTCTTCAAGGGTGACAACGCATTTGCATTTTGATTCTTAATTGAGGATTAATATAAATGTTTATGAAGCACAGCATCCACTTACATACATGTTGACTGTGTGCTTGTTTGTCACCCTTCTTCTAATAAAAAGTCCGTCGGTCTTAAAATATTTTGCTCCTCCGTGCAATATATACGTGGTAGAGCTGCGCTGCAGCTGTACTATGGTTATGGTACGAATGGATCGGTTCGACCAGAGAAGGACCACGCTCTCACAGAATACCAGCGTAAAATAACACTTAACGCTGCTGTAATTCGTACAGTGAGTGTAGAGAACCGGAGAATCTTTTTACTAGATACGAGGCATTCCAATTCAGTCCTCGGGGGTGACAACGCATGTGCATTTTGATTCTTAATCGAGGATAAATGTCTATGGGCCACAGTATCCACTTACCATCAGGTGGACTGTGTGCTCGTTTGTTATCCTTATTCTATAAAAAAAAAAGTCAGAGCAAAATATTGATTTCTCTCTTAATCTAATGGCTACTAGACTGAAAGTGAAACTACAATTTTCAAATGATACGTCGGCTTACGGGCTATCGAATAGGCAGATCTTTAAACGTATGCGGTTGAGACTAACTTACAGCTCGTTTTGGAGATATAATTGAGCATAAACATGGCTGCAAAATCTCCACTAAACATCTGTCTACCGCAAGAGGTCAATTAACAAAGTTAGAGATCGATTTTGCTGCATCATTTCCAGGGTGCCGGAAATTTTGAGTGATATCACGGAGCATTATAGGCATAATTGTACACGTCGTCGATAAAACCACACGCAAATGTAAGTTACGATCTAAGAGGAAGTCTCATTTGACACTCCTCCGATAATATCCCAAAAGTTAGTCTGAGGGAGATAGGAATGGCTCTCCTGGCAACTTAAGAATGGCAAAACGCCCTGTGAGGTTAAAATTAGAGAAAAACTACTATAATCGGGTGGAAAATGAATGCTAAATAACAAAATAAAAGCCCTTCAGAAGATGATGACGTGGAGCAGAATTGTAATAGTTTTATTCTTCAAGAAAGGTGATAAAACGCTATCGAAGAATTACAAATCGATATCCCTTCTGAGCCACGTTTATGTGCTGTTTATGAGTCATTATTAATCGTCTCGCACGCAGTCTCCACGACTTCCAGCCTACCAAAAAACCCGATTTTCGAAAAGGCTTCAGTATCATAGACCACATACATACCCTCCGGTAAGTTATACAGAAGACTGTGGAGGATAAACAAACAAATGTTTTAACTCACCTCTCTTAACATCTTTAAACCTGCTCTCTTATAACATACACCCTCACAATGTGGTCATTGGTAAACCTCACGGTTTTGTTGTTGGAGGGTAGATGGGCATTTCGTAGCGGTTTGTGTTGATTTATAAATTGTATTATATAAAGTAACTCCGCCCTACTTTTGTCCGCAACACGGAAATCACTAATGTTATATGTCATCAGCTTTACATGTCGAAGCACTGCCACCGAAGTTAACCCGCTAAGCCCTTTTAATGAATAGCAGAATATCAACAGCTATGATTACAGAAATTGTCATCACATAGAACATAATATAGGACGGAATACATCGCGCAAGCATAATACAAACACAGACTGCAGACTTGCCAGAGTGTCGGATGCTCGCTATTACATCATATTTGATACACCACAAACCCTTGCAAAAGAACACCGAAGTATGAATCGCGAGGTTATTAAAATTAAAAATCATCCATTTCAATAGAGAAGATGGCTTAGGACCTACAATTGAGAAAAGTAAATTCAAACCCAAACATGCAACACTTCGTAATACCGTAGCTCGTTCTCCGTACATCGTACTTAAAATTAATATTGAAAATCTGAGCGTAACCCGGGTTCACTATGACATTTCATAGTCTAAAACAGTTTTTCCGTGATCATGTTTGCTGTACCAGTAAACAACCCAAAATATCGGGAATTCAAAATAAGCGTAAATAAGTTAAATAAACGTGAATAAAATAAGCTTTTTGAAATCTGTTGTGTTGTTTTACATGTTAGATTTCATGAAATGAATGAAAGAATTTAAAAAAATAAGATACTAACGAGGAGATAATTCTATCATTTTCCATAATTAACTCTTACAAGACGAAACGTTGCGATGGATTCAGTTACGCCGCGCCGTTACCACACGGCTTATTTAGTTTCACTACTTTAACCTATATAATACTTTATACGAAACAAGCAATATTCTCTATCCATCTAATCCATCTAATACCTTTAAATAAGCAATTCTTGTATATAATCGGGATCTCGGAAACGGCTCCAACGACTTTGATATAATTTAGTGTCCAAGGAGTTTCGGGGGCAATAAATCGATCTAGCTAGGATTCATTTTTAGAAAATGTCGTTTTATCCGTGTTTTCAGGCAATGAAAAACTGCTACAATATTGTTAGAATAAGGAGGTAAATTTTAGCCGCGCCTTGGTTATTAAAATAGCTCAAATGGGATATCGGGTTGTCTCGACATCTTAATACTCTGGTTCGAGTCCTGTCTTTGGTCTGACTTTTTTTCCTTTTTTTGGGAAAATCTATTATTTCGACCCTTTATTTAGTATTTTTTTAATAACACGAAAATTGAATTTAAACTAATTGCACTCATGATTTTTTATTCAAATAACCAGTTCAGTTTTTTCTATTATGTCGGTAAGATCAAAAAATATCATTCATATTTCATCAGTATGTAATTTGTATCTAAATATAATTTCCAAAATACACAATTTCAAAAAAAAACCAAGCAAAGCTCGGTCATCCAGGTACTTATTATAAAATTACTTGTTATTTATTATTCATAACCTTTGTTAAAAACTAATTTAAAGTCGTGTTAATAGTTACGACTTTGAAATTGCCTATTCCCAAAATTCCTTGTAGGTAGAATTATCTTCAAATTATGCTTAAATGTAATTGTTAACAATTTATCTACGAAGTAAAGTTGGCAAAGCCTCGTCGGTCTTCTACAAGTACTAGTGAAAAATCGTGTTCTATCACTCAGTACAGATAGTGGTACTATAAATCTGTGAGATAATATTATTTTGATGACAAAGTAACATCATCCCAAGTCTATAAAATTTTTTACCTGTTATTTTTTTGTTTTTATAAATTATTGTCTTAAGTGAGGATCAATAAGCTGTAGGCCGAACCACACTTTCCTACACGAAAAATTAATCCCTTAATATATGTATCCCTTAATGTATGTAAAATCAATCCCTTAGCTAACGTGCTAATTATTTCAAAATTAATTTCATTCATATTTATCACGATAAAACTTTGCTATTGTAGTTTATTACAATTAGAAATCTTTGAAAATAATGTAACATAAATATAACTAAAAAAATAAAGTCCTGGCCTGGCCTGGCTGTAATACCTGTACTTTTTTGCTTTAATACAAAAAGGGACATCAGCTTTCAAATTTATAACGAAAAACTATGTATTTGTACCATTCTGAAATTTATATAGACATGCCGACCACATTGTCTGATGAAAGGTGAAAGTTAAGTTAGTTAAAAATGAAAGTTATTAATTTAAATTACTTATTGATCGTATTTTTTATATACCTACCACTGGTTCGGATAATACATTTCTCTTGTTAAAAACCAAAAACATTTTTAAATATTTTATTAAAGAAAAAGTCTACTAGCGATCATTTCATTGCCAAGTATTATTATTATTCATATATTTCTACAACCATTTTTGTAGATACAGTTTTTGTTTAATGGTCAAACTTGTTACATATTGCCCCATAAATAAACTAACTCTGTGTTCTACGCTTGTGTTTATTCCTGGTATTACAAACTTGTTTTTATTTCTTTTAATTACAGTATTCATATTTTATTCTTACTAAAGCTATTTGTCTTTGTGAAAGTACATAAATTACAATTATATAAGAAATATTCTGGAGCTTCGAGAAAAATTTTCATATTTCTAAACTACCTCGCAAACTTGCGGTGTCGACCTCATCTGTTTCCTAGTGGTAGCGGCGTCGACAAATTTGCAATCCACGAACAATCATGTAAGAAAAGTGCTGGTAGTTTGTCCCGTCATGGTTCTCTGAACGATATTATCCGAAGAGCTCTTGTCTCTATAAATTTTCCCTTAGTTTTAGAGCCTTGTGGAATATTAAGAGACGATAACAGGAGACCCGATAGTATGACAGAGTGGGAGCTGGTATGGCTTTGGTCCCTTGAGATCTCTCTCATACCGGTTACCTCTCTGTAAACTCCTAGTGTGGGATGCTATGTTTGCTGAACTCAGTAAGTTTTTTTTTAAAATATGTTTGCAAAAGTAATTCAAAATTTAGCAACATTTTTTAACCATTCAATAAACATTTATAAATACATTTATTGTTCCGCTTTAAAAAACTGCTAAGTTAAATTCAAATAAAAAATTAATGTTTTAGGCATATGAATTATATCGCATTGATATTTTGTTCAACATTTTTACATTTTTTCCATTTTGTTACGTAGTTGTCGTAAGGGGCAACTATGGCAAATGTCAGGAAGATCTTATGGCTTCCGATGGGTGGCGATATATATCGGTTACGCTAGGCACAAGGTACCCAGACGAGTAATAGGGTGTATTTTTAAGTTGCTAAACGCCTGATACTGCTATCGACAATCCGTCAGCCTACAGTAATAATTAAGGCAAACTCTGCCCACAACATAATTCCACGCAGTAAAAAAGTAAGATCATTACAAGTAGGATAGTAGTCAAGCACTGACTTACAAAAATTATTAACTGCGGTCGTCAATAAGCCGGAGAAGTTCAGTAGGAGAGACTCTTGTCCATCTGTGACTGATTGATGTCCGACTGTAACTGATTGATGATGAAAAAACTTGTCGAATTAATTGTGAAGAAGTCACTTTACTTTACAAAGGAAATATTGATAGTCTCACTATTAAAATTATATATGAGGACCCTTAGAGGCTTTTGAGGAAGTAGAAACTTTATGCTTATTAATTTAAATATTTGAAGTCTAATCATAAGAATTGATTTTTTCCAATAAAATATATTTTCATCGACTATCAATCCCATAAACATGATTGAAAGTGAAAAGAACAAAAAAGAAAAGATAAAATAATGTTGCATACACTTACACATAACGTTTTATACGTGGTAGAGCCACGCTTAAGCTATATTATGGTTGTAGCATGAATGAATCGGCTCGACCGGGGCAGGACCACGCTCTCACAGAATATAACGTAAAATAGTAGCTTAATGCTGCTGTGTTTCTTATGGTGAGTGTAGAGAACCGGAGACCCGTTTTACTGGAATCGAGGCATTTCATCTTAGTCCTCAGGGGTGACAACGTATCTGCATTTTGATTCTTAATCCGGGTTAAATGCAGACGTCTGTGGGCCACAGTATCCATTTACCACCAGGTGAACTGTGTGCTCGTTTATCACCCTTATCCTATAAAAAAAACCACCCTTTTGTTTAGAAACTCTATTTGGTAAGCGTCACGAAACGACAGCCCTCTATTACGGTGTTTAAGGCTTTATTGACATATAAATGACAAGGACATAGTTGATTCAAGTAAGGATAAAAAGCTTTCCATTTGCCTGTAACGACTTAAGTGCGGTTTTCAAAAAAATGAATGGACAGCAAAATAATATTATGTATAATATACACTTACAGTACACATTTTTATTTAACTTGGTAGAGCGTTGCAGCTATATTATGGTTGTAGCACAAATAGGTCGGCTCGACCGGGGAAGGACTACCCTCTCACAGAATACCAGTGTAAAATAGCAGTTCAACCATACTGATGTGTTTCGTATGGTGAGTGTAGGGAACCAGAATTTTTTTTATGGAAACGAGGCATTCCATCCCAATCATCTCACGGGCTACAACGCATCTGCATTTTGATTCTTAATTGAGAATAAATATAGATATGGATTGTGTACTCGTTTGACACCCTTATTCTAAAAAAAATACCTTTATTACCTTTAATGTCCCAATCGCTTCACAATAAATTGCTGTAATAATGTGTATTTAATGCGTTTTTACTTTACTAGATGGAGATATGACTGGTAACATATATTTATATATATATATATATATATATATATATATATATATATATATATATATATATATATATATATATATTAAGACTGCTCTCATTAATTGCGGCGTTAAACAATAACCTAAATAAAAAAAAACCCTCGAAATAAAACTAGCAGATGATCTTCAAACGGCTGAGCAGATTTTCTTGAAACATAACTAAGAACACTCTCAATTAAGACATCTTTAAAAAAAAATTTAATCGGTTCATCCATTCAAGAGCTATGATGCCACAAACAGACGAACAGATTCACAGATACACACTACAAACTTATCACACCACTCTGTTTTCGTCGGAGGTTAAAAAGAGTTTTTTTTTAAGCGACCACATAGCCCACCAAATAGTAAGTGTTTTCTGTAGCCCATAGACGCCCACATTTATTCTTTATTATTAGAATGCAAATACATTGGAATCGGGTTCTCATCACTCAACCACATAGCACAGCAGGACGGTCCTATTCAACGCTAGTAGAATACTAGCGTGTTCTTTATCCCGATCAACCCGACCATTTCGTACTGTAGCCGTTGCAACGTGGCTCTTTTAAAATTTACCCCATAAGAAGCGACACTTTAGAGCACTCGTCTCTGATAGAATATTTTGCAAATATATTAAAAAAATATTTTATAAAAAAAATATATTCAAAAAATAGACTCTTAGGTATACTGACGAGTGATAATAAAATTAAAATGTGTGTACATATTAAATATTAAACAGAATGAATGTTACATATCTTAATTAATTCTTAACTAAATAATATTGATACAGCAAGTGATCGCATAAATCTAATTAAAATATATTATATTTATATTTATACTTACAATAAAGCACAAGCGTTGTCAAGGTGAAAACTAGGTTTTTTACTTTAATACACTTTTAACAAATTGCAAATATAGTTTGTGAAAGTTTCAATCGCTAGTTTTGTTAGCTCCGATCAGCCATAACTTGACGGAAGCTCAGGATGTTATGTTGGGCGGTAAGCGCGCCGCCTAAGCATTTATAAGACCGCCCAGTAAGGCCGCGCGTTATGACCGTCACACACTACGCTGATTAAAATAGGTTATATTCTGTATTGTGGTAGTAAACAAAACATTTGTATATTTTTAGCACATGCGAAACTTTTCCTTAATAAGCCTTACGCCTATGTTATTTAAGAATAGAATAACGCACTTGTTTTTTTTTTTAATATTTGAGACTTATTTAATAAAGTATTATTTGATTATCCTTTGTAAGAATATCATATTAACACGTTTCGTTTAAACAAAATATTTAAATAGTAGGTATGCACATTAATTCCTTATAATGATTAATTTTTAGTAAATATTTCAATTATTTTTTTTATTATTATAATAGGTTAAGAAATTTTAATTTTTTAAGAAAATACGTAGGTTTCATAATAACAAAGATGTTCATACTTTATTCACTACGAACAAACACAAGCTTGTAAAGCCAGTTACATTACTCCGTACAAGAGAATGGTCCGACGAGCCTAGAGGGTCATCGACGGAAACCTGATAGAGAGGTCAGCAGAAGGTCCAACAGGAAAGGTGTATGATCTTCCACATCTGAAATTCGCGTAGGCGACGTAACCCATCGTGTCCGACAATATACCAAAGCAAAGTCGTAAACAGATTTCCCCGCATGATCAGTTAATCGTGAACCAAGCCATTCGGCGTGGTGAGCGTTAAAATCGCCAAGAATCACGGTATTTGTGGATGGGATCTGCTGTAACACAGAATCTGTAGCCATTCGGATGTGGTCAAAGCGTCGGTCTGTTTCGGTATTACCGCTACGGGACCTATAAAGACACCCTTAAACGCGGGGATGGTCGTCGCTGTCTACGCGCAGCCATAGGAAGGACAGGTCCATATCTTCAAGACTGCCGAGTCGTCGAAAACGGACGTCCTCTCTGACGTATACGCAAAATTCAACTCGGGTACAAATGAATGTTCTAATTTGTACCCCGGTCGCTTTAGGTGCCTCCACAGAATTGGTAATTTATTTATGGGACAATGTATACGCTTTTACAACAAACTCCTACAATATATTTAGTTTGTCCATTAATAACTTTAAACATTTTATTAAATAAAAACTTTAAAAAAGGATAATTATAATATTAAGGAACGTATGAATAAAACTAAAGAGGTGAGAGAGACAAAATTATTTACTTATTCACATTCACATATTTTACAAACAGACGTATAGGCGGACTAAGTGACTAAATTATTCTCTACCAATCTACCTTGGAGTGATACATTTATATATAAATAATAATTCATTTGTAAGGTAAATAAGAAGGTTATTCGTTAAGCGCAAGTTTCTCTCATGAGAACAAAGGAACTGAAAGTAAGGATTTAAGTAAGGTAGAGGATCAGGATAGAATAAAGGGCGGTCAATGCAGGCAAACTACCATTTTAATTGAAATCGACACGTAGACACAGTCATACTTTCGAAGATTGAATATGAATTGAGTGCAGTTTATTCAGAAGGCGGTCATATTTGTTTAGAAGTATTGCACATTCAGGCCAATATAACACACATC